ACTAGGCTAACAGTCCTACTAAGAAAAATACAAGATTGCATGAACATATTCTCCATCTGCTAAATAAGTTATGTACAACATGTAAATGTATATGTTTAAGTAAAAAAGTAAAAAATACTTGGACTAGTACATTAATGGGACTAGAAAAAACAATAACATTACATAATGCAAAATATGTTATGGGGCGTTACATCGCCACCTTAACAAGATAGTCAAAATTTGCTGAGTTAATGGTAGCACAAATATTGGCTAGCTTGTTAACGCCCCATCCTACAAAACCCATCTGACAAATTGAAGAAATATGATGAGACATGCGACTGTAACACACGTAATATGCCTCCATTATTGCTTAGCACCTAAATACAATGATATGTACAATTATAACAATAGCTAGTCCTAACATGACAACTACTTGAGTTGACTTACAGCCCCTGACTGTTAAGCCAATGAATCACCTTCCAGCCCCTGACTGGAGGGTAACAAGAATGAACATGAGTAAAATAGAAAAAACAAATTAAAAATTGGCATGCAACCCCTGTTTGCATGACATGACTTAACATTAAGAGGGTTACGTTTCAAAAAGAGAGCAGGGTGAGGACTCACAAATTAAGTGTAGGACTGCGAATGTATTTTTTGAATGCATTTGAGCGCCATCTACCCATATTTTGGATCTGAATTTCTGAGAACCCTAACGAAGCAGCAGTTTTGCTGCACCTATTCGAAAACTGTGAGACTGGTACCGTTGCAAATCGAGATTGCAAAAAGCTAAGGCTGTGCGTAAATGGTGCGTGAAGAATTGTTTAGAAACTGGTAATTTATCCATGAAGGAGAAAAGAGGTTCTGAGGGAGACCCATGCTTTCTTAGCTGGAGATACTTGGTAAGTGCTAAACAAGGACAAATAACTGGATTTTTCGTATTTTGATGTAGGCGCAAAGTGGTAACATTAGACTTTGAGTGCTTAAAGTGGGGAATATTAATATCAATGATTTGTAAATGGTCTACCCCCTTATGGATTGAGATATGCTCAAACCGCAAAAAATGTTGTGCAGAGCCAGTTGTTTTTGTGATTTCCCCAACTCGTAAAAATGCACAAAATGCCAAAATGAACATGGCTCTTAGTAAGCAGCGAAGGAATGCAGAAGATGAAGTATGCTGCAGGGCATTTACCAATTGAATCAAAATTGCTGGCGTTATGGGAAGTCGCGAGTCCAATGATGGTTTACATTTTTGAAACCCTATCAGCATTTTTTTAATAATAAAGTGTTGTGTAATATCTTGGTAGCCCCCAAGTTGAAAAATGAAACTTAGAGATGATACCAGTGTTCGTGTTGATGAGGCAGCTAGCTTTCTAAGGAAGCAGTTGGCAATGAATGCTGACAAATGCTGGGGGGATGGGGGTAAAGGATTTATACCTGATCCAAAATGCATGTTAATAAAGTTTCTATAGGTAACGAAAGCTGACTTGTATGCAGAGAGTGTAGACTGGGATAATGAATTCTGCACCAAATAGTCTTGTGTTACTTTCAGAGTCTGACAAGCGTCGAAGGAACCGGCGTGGGTCTGGACTGCATGTGAGGGAAACGAGCTTGGAACTCTGTTACCTGTAGACGAGAAAGCATATCAGCCGCTGTATTTAAAACGCCTGGAACATGTTTAGCAACAAAATGAATATTATGTTGAAGGGAGAGGAGCATAAGACGCCTCATTAGGGTCATCAAGTGTGGGTCCTTTGAGCTGTTTTTATTAATCACATGCACCACAGCGATATTATCCGAGTGTAGAATCACAGTGCAGTTCTTGAATTGATGACACCATACTTCTAATGCAATGACAATTGGGAGGAATTCGCGGACTGCAATGTAAAATTGAAGCCAATTGCTAGAAAACTGTCCAAAAAACCACTGCTTGCCAAAGGTACAGCCTTATCCTAGGTCACTGGCATCTGTGAATAAGTGTAGGGATGCAGAAGAGTGAGTGATGCCTGATGGGAAGAGTGCTTTTCCATTAAAATGATCCAAGAATAATCCCCAGGCATTTAAGTCAGCCTTGGCCTCGGAATTCAGTCGACGATGATGATAAGGTTTTTTCAGGCCCACTGTCAAATCGATTAGTCGTCTGAGAAAAGTGCGTCCAGGTGGAACGACTTTACAAGCGAAATTGAGCATTCCAATAAGAGATTGTAATTGCTTCAGTGTTGCTGATTTCTGTGATTTCAACTACATGTAAATAAGCATACGTCATTTTCGATATCATTATCTACGATACATCAACATCAGGGTACATACTCTTCAGACTCGCCACACATGACTGCTTTATTGTCATGGGTATTGGCCTGGAATGGCGACCCGTGTTCGTGCTGGTTACATGTATCTTGCATTGCCTTTGTTTGTATTTTATCGCAGTTACGTGTATCTCTATATACTGCACTGACCTGTACAACTATAATTCCAAGTTTCTTTGGATCTTACTTTCCTGCATTGGACGAAGTATTACGTTATAATTGTCGCTACCGAGTGCTGTATAGTATACGCCCGTCTACACCGGTGTCGACTGAGAATATAAAGGGGTCTGCGGGTATCGAGAGCTCTTTGGAAATAAGCCAATGGCTTTCATGGGTTATATGAATGTAATGTGAATCATACATATATTCTGTCTTTCGAAAACGGATTGATTCTGATATTTTATCTTGAATCTATTGTTTAGTGCCAACTTTCATATATATCATAAAATTAATTGTCAATAATGCATTGTAAAAATGTATATGTAGTATACCAAATAAATACCTATCAGAGCAAAAATGCACATTCCTTTTACGAATCGTGTTCAGCTTTAAATGCCAATAAATTTTCACAAGGTTGTTTTTGAAAATTAGTTTACATTGTTAGCCTCCATGGTGAAATTTATATAAGAATAAGATTTTTCAAAGATTTATTTCTCTAGATAAAATTGGTTTCTTAATATGCAACTTTTTAAATAATTTAAGAATATCAATTCTCATACCTAAATTTGAATAATTAGATACTATTATGATACTGTTGTGTATTATGCATAATATTTGTATAAACTATACTACAGAATTCAATGATGTTAGTACATGCATGTTGTAGAGAACTAAGTAATAGCTCACATACAAAACTAAAGCATGTCTGAAACGTGGTGGTGTTTTCCCTATTAGCCAATGTTCTCTTAAAGAGCTTTCACTGAAAACTGTCAATTATTAATAAGGAAAAAGAACTGCTACAAAATCAATCGACAATTTCACTGGAAATATGGTACGGCCCATATCTATTTTTGTTGTCTCTGAGGGTGAGGGAGTGACAAACTTAGATTAGCTATGTCACTTTTAATGCAGGGTGAAGTAAGAGTGTAAGTGGACCTTTCTATATAATAAATAGAATGAAAAATAGTGATATAATCTTTGTATTTTATTTTAAAACTACCTTTTTATCTTTAAAAATGGTATAAACTCTGAACCTAATAGCCCTTGACAGATTTGTTGAAACATTCAGTAACACTAGTACTGTATTTAAACAACCAGTAAGTCCAACTAGAACTGTCCAATAGGGACAAATACCCCCCGCTGGGTTTTTCAGAGAAGGTGCCAATTCAAAAATACTTTATGGATCTAGAGGTGTTCACAATTTACTTACAAAAATTTGCAGTCTGTGAAATATAATTGCTCATCATGTTTCTTACTGAATGAAACAAAGGTGCAACCAAATGAAACATCAACACTAATACATTGTAAATCCATTGTAACATTATTTTTTTTATTTAATTTGTTTATTTCTGCATGAAAAAAATATATTACAATTATGTGTTTTGTCACTCTGCAAACTGATTGTTGAAAAAAAATCATATTATACAAAATCAAATTAATCTTGATAACTTTATATCAAATTCATTTGAAAATAAAGAGCTGGTCATCCAATAATGAAGTGCTTTGACAGACAATAAATTACAATTAAGAGAATAAGAGAAGAGATCTTTAATTCTTGTGCCTGATTCCCATGAGATTACACATGGTTGATAATGAGATGCCTTAATGTTCAACTTCCCACACCAAACTCATTAATTTATCTTTAACTGGATGCATGTCCAGTCATTATTCTCAAGAGATAAATAAAATTACATTATCTTCTGTGCAATGTAAAAACTGTTTTTAACACTTGATGATGTTCTTTTTTTTAAGTTTATATGAGTTGTTTCAAGCTATACAGTAGTATTTTTGTAAAGATATTCTAGATTCTATGTCTCAAACCTTATACATGAGCCCAAAATGAACAAGTCAAATAAAATAAAAAATAAAACCTGTAAAATGCAAAAAAATGAACAAAAAGAGATGAAAATTCCAGTTGCACACCTTCATATGGTGAATAATAAGTGTACAAATTTTCAGATTAATCCTTGCAATAGTTTCTGAGAAACGGTCCGGACAAAACCACAAAATAAAAATGGAAAAACACCTGCAAAATTCAAAATAATAATCGAATCAAGATGAAAAAAGCAGATGCACAACTTCATATGGTGAATAATCTTTGTACAAATTTTCGGACAAATCCTTCCAATAGTTTCTGAGTAATGGTCCGGACAAAATCTCGTCTACAGACAGACAGACAGACAGACAGACGGACAGACAGACAGACGGACAGACGGACATGGTGATTCCAATATACCCCCCCTAAACTTCGTTTGCGGGGGGTATAATGATATCTATCTATCAATAATGTTGAACAGTTTCCAAACATTTTGAAAGAACAGGGGGTTGTCATGTCAGCATCACTTTGGTCTATTCACAATATGTAATTTTTGCAGGTTCGAAATACATACATCACTGTCAGAAACTTTAGAAAATTAATTAGGTCATAATACGAATTGCCAACTCATGCGACAAGACAATAATATGAACAGCCAAGACATATGCGAGAAAACTTTTATACTGAATAATTTCATTAACTCAATACATGTAACTCCAGTCCATGAATTACACGGTGCCATCAGTGGTATACGAGAAATTGCGTATACGAGAAAGGAACATGAAATCATAACAGAGGGTACATGCAGACGGGCAGATGGACGGACATCTTGATCACTAAATACCTTCCCATTTTTCAAGCGGGATTATAAATGCTAACACATACGTACAGATGCATTGTATCATTTTGTAAGTAGTAAAATAGACAATTGTAGACACATAAATATATTCTACTTGGTTTTTAAATATATTTTAAGGCAACTGTAAATACCTTTTACAACTTGAAAACCCATAATTATGCTAATAACCGTGTAGCATGTGATGTATCTATTTTTAAAATCACTTTACATAAGTTATTCTACCTATGCCATCTGCTATTCATGCTTATTTTTTTATTTTACCGTGATGTATTTCATTATTTACATGTTACATCCTTATCAGTCAGGTCCTAGGATTGCTCCTATTTTAATTTTTACTGTTAAATGGACTTTAATTAAAGCTCGAATACTGATCGTTATCTACACATATTTAATGTATTACAAAGATGTTGTTTTTGCTTTGATAATAAAGATTCTAGATGTGCGAATAATAAATATCCAAATAATTAGTACTTTAGTGCTAACATTGAATTTTTTTCAATTAGCCATTTTTGTAAAAATAAAAGCTAGAATACCGGTTACATTAATGAGATAGAAGAAACATTACTGGCAGATTTCAATTCAAAGTAAAATCTACTATATTTCTGTTTGTTCAAAATTTTAATTTTGAGTTCATCAAAACTTTACTAATTATACAGACGGGGGAGAACAAGTCTTGGTTACAAAGATACATGTAGTATTAAAAAATATATAAACTAGATTCACAAAATTGAGCTAATAAACCGATAATACCAATTCAATGAATGATTTATAAAACAAAATACAATGAAAACTACTTGCATTTATCACGTGGATAAACACATTAATATAAGGCGATGTCAGAAGTTTCTAAAATTAATAAAAATTCATAGCTGAAATTTTTTCTACAAAATACTTTTAAAGTTCCTCTTTTACTGACTCATTTTAATGACGCACTGCGGATTCTGAACATAAATTATTATTATAAGACCTTAAGGTACTTAAGATTTTTAACTCGATTGTTAATGGAGATGAGCCTTGCCTTCGTTATCTAGGAGAATTTTATCAACATTCTTCTTGAATATAAAAAATCTTAATCAAAACCTTATTTTCTTTTACAGTTGTAGACCTAGAAACAAACAGATGAACAAAACTATGGAAGCAAAGACATGGCTATATTGAATTTTTCTCTCTAACATTTTAAAAACAGGTATGCATATGCATCTTTTTGTTTAACATCTTAATGACATCGGAAAGGTAATATTTATACAATATCGATAATTTTTATAATTCCTGATTTTGTGTAAAATGAAAGGTTCCTTCTTTTAGATACCGATGTACCTCTATCAGGCCTGCATACTCTTTCTCTTATTGGGACATGCTTGGTAAGTAAAGATGAACATGACCGATTTATACGTCATATACGCAGAGTTTTGATATGTGCTCGTAAGATAGACCCCCCGTTCCTCTAACTATGTTAGTAGTTTTTGACAACTACATTGATATATTTAAAATATATATTCACTATCGATGAATTTCGTTTACTAATAATTGGAATAATTTAATGAATTAAATTGAAGACAACAGACGTTGTTTTAGCATGCTAATTATTTGATTTTAAAAACAAATTATATATCCCAGACCAATCCCTTCTAACAATGAGTCATATTATGTTCACAGATAGAAATTAAAATAATCAGAAAATGTCAATTTAATATCTTTTTTTTTTTTAAAATAAGGTGTCCTGTAACTCAGTGGAAAAAAGTGGTGTTTAAGTACAAGTACTTTTCCACATTAACCTTCTTTTTTGATTTAATCGAAAAAACTAAATTCATTTTCATAAACCTTTAGGATAAGGTAAAATTTTACAAGCAATGAATTAGTTTTCAATTGATAAATGTAGCTAAGAGATGTTTAAAAGAAATGTATATATTAATAACAGAATTTTAACAAAAGAAATCCATCCAAGTTAGACCCCCCTCATCGCTAAGAATATTTCAATCCCGATATAAATTTATTATTAAGGTCTTCCGTTTCCAACGGAAGACCTTCTTCTGATTCTGTTGGTAAAGATTATTAAGGTCTTCCGTCTCCAACGGAAGACCTTATTGTTTTCGTTCGGTTTCTTTTTCCCTTTTATTATTCCAACCGATTTTGTGCACGCAAGTTCTCAGAAACGACTCGTCCAAATTTCACGAAACTTTCAGATCTGGTAGGTATTGATCTGAACCTTATTGGAAATTTTTTTGATTGATGACGTCACTTCTTATCTCGAGATATTTAGGATTTTCTTATTTTCAGAGGGTCGGCTTGTCCAGGAAACTCCTCCGAAACGACTTAAGATATCGACTTAAGATTTTCAGTGAAAATAAAGGAAGATTTGGTGAGTTGTAATTGGGTATCCAAATCTTTCTAGCGCAAAAGGCGCCGGAGCTCAGTGGGGCACGAAAAAATGTCTCAGAAATATCTCACAAAATTTGACACATTTTGTTTCATATCTTCATACCTGTTCATAATTTGTGAAAGCATATTGAAAAAAAAATGTGCAAAATTACAAGACCTTTCATTTGATACCAATAAAATGGGGCTGACCCCTCAAATTAGGGGCTCAGAGGGGCCAAAAGTTTTTTTTATCTATAACTCTCTAATGATCAATATTTTGTTATATATTACTGAAGCAAAAGTAGTCATCTTAACAATTTGCAACAATATATGATAAAATTTTGATCATATGTTACGTAATTAGGGGTCAAAAGGGGCCAGAATGTCAAATCTTTGACGCTTTATATCTCAAAAAGGGGGAATATTTTAAATAACAATATTGAACAAAAGATGGTCAGAATAATGTTCTAAACAATATCCATACTTTGAAGTTTTGTAAAACGACCCCATTAAGGACTTGTAGGGGTGGCCCCTAAATATTTCCATTTAGCATATCTCCACAACGAAAAGAAATCTCTGCATAGATACTGAATAAAAAATCTTCAAAATCACAAGACCTTTTATTTGATACCAAAAAAATGGGGCTGACCCCTCAAATTAGGGGCTCAGAGGGGCCAAAAGTTTTTTTATCTATAACTCTCTAATGATCAATATTTTGTTATATATTACTGAAGCAAAAGTAGTCATCTTAACAATTTGCAACAATATATGATAAAATTTTGATCATATGATATGTTATTAGGGGTCACAAGGGGAGAAAGTCAAATCTTTGACGCTTTATATCTCAAACAGGGGGAATATTTTAAATAGCAATATTGAACAAAGGATGGTCAGAATAATGTTCTAAACAATATCCCATCATCTCGAGCCACGGTCCGGAGTCCGCATATAGCTCTCTCCTACCCATGGCTGCTTGATCACAAAAAGTGTCGTAATCTTGAATATTTACGCCTCTCTATTGTGACGTCATATTCAGTCAGTGGCAAGTTTTGTTTCCATCGCAATTGAAATCAACAACTGACGTCAACAGTATACGAGAAATATTTCCTTTACTGTGATTGGATATGGAAAGGTCGCGATAAAGTTCATCTTCCGACTATGCTTTACTCGCATTGGTCAATATTTTAATGAACTACGAAGAATTCTCTCCTCGTTGAACCACGGCCAGAATGGGAGAGGATCGTACATTTTGGCCGTGGTTTGCGACGATGACAATATCCATACTTTGGATTTTTGTAAAACGACCCCATTAAGGACTTGTAGGGATGGCCCCATAACATTTCCGTTTAGCATATCTCCACAACGAATAAAAATCTTCGTTTAAATACGTTTAAAAACAAATAAATACTGAACAAAAAATTTCAAAATCACAAGACCTTTCATTTGATACCAAAAAAAAAAAAAATGGGGCTGACCCCTCAAATTAGGGGCTCAGAAGGGCCAAAACTCTTTAATCGTTAACTCTCTTATGATCAATATTTTGTTATACATCACTGAAGCAAAAGTATAGTCATCTTAATGATTTGCAACAATATATTATAAAATTTTGGTCATATTTTATGGATATTAGGGTGTCAAGGGGCCAAAATGCTATATTTTTTATGCTTTACGTCTCGAAAAGGGGAAACATTTTTATAAGCCATATTGAACAAAAGATGTTCAGACTATCGTGATAAATATCAGAAACTTCAAATTTGATGAAGTAAAACTTAATGTCTTTCTCTTTTAACTAATATCTCAGTCAAAATCACATCTCATCTTATCGAGAAATTCAACGGAAGACCTACTCGTTGCTCGCAACGAGATCTCATCTAGTTATTTTTTTTTTTCTTCTACTTCCTAGATGCCACATTTGAAGCCTCCTATTTCACTCATTTCTCAACTGATTTCGCACAGTTCTTAAACTCTATCAGAATGCCTTCAAATTTTTCAAAAAGTCACTTCCGGTTTTGAGTTATTGCCCTTTAAACGAAAAATTATAGGCTTTCGTTTCCAGACAAAGGCTCAGAGACGGCTAAAGCTGGAGCAGAAATTCTACTGATTTTAGATAATAGAAGGATTGAAGTTGTGCACATCGGTTTTTGTTTTTCGATTTCTTTATTCAAAATGGCGCTATATAGGGGTCAAAAATTAGAACGCTTAAAAGAGCTAAAAATTACTCATATTTTGCTTTTTATCTTCTAAACTAAAAATATCTTGTTAAAATATATAGAACATAATTTGTGCAAAATTTCAAGATCTTTCAAATGATATGTCGAAAAAAGGGCTGACCCCTAAATTAAGGGATCTAGAGGGGCCAAAAGTTTTTTCCAAATATCTCAAAAAGTATTGAGAATTTGGTATACATCAAAGAAGCAAAGTTGTTGAAAATGTCAAGCCCAATCTAATGGAGTCGTCAAAATACGTCCAGCGTCGTCACTTCCGGCCAAACCGGAAGTAGTCGGGAAACGCGTCTTTTTGCCATTTTTGACAAGATTTTGGATAACATATGTCTCTGGGAGCTTAAAAATTAATTTTCTGTGCGTCGTCGTCACTTCCGGTCAAACCGGAAGTAGCAAAAAATGGCTTATTTTTGCATTAATTAACATAGCTTTAGAGGATTCAAAGCATTTTTGGGCCTTATTTCTCATTTTTGTTAAAAATGAAAGCTACTTTCGGTCAAACAGGACGGAAGACCTACTTGCAACGAGCTTTGCTCTAACTACTTCTATTATTCCGTTGCGCACTCTCTCCCTCACCATACACATTTGTACAAACGATTGTTGCATTACAGTGTATGTATCCCTTCCAAATTCATTTCAGGGATATAAAATAACCAAAAATATCTGATTATTTAAACACAAGGCATAAATTCTTGAATAACGTATGAAAATGTAGGCTATGAATTTGTAAATTTCCAACAAAGGCTCTCAGTATAATTCAGAATACATGTAAAAAAAAGTTTGTATGGTTTTGTTTTATTAACTTTATTTAATGATATGATTTTTTATCTCATGTTTTCTGTCTTAATACATGTATTACATGTACTATTCATTACATGGTTAAAATTATCCATGTAGAAAGATACCGTATCACAGTTAAAAGCAGGTGAAATATTACTAAATTGGGCAGAAAACTACATGTAATTACATTAGATTACTAAATTTAAAATTGATTGTTTATTCTAAAGACAATTGAAATAGTATTCTCTTTAAATTTTTAGGGTAATAGGCCTCCTTAAATGCGGAAACACATTTCTGATTGGTTTTAAAAAATGCCCTAAAGAGACAACCTCAACACAAGAGTCTCAGAACAACAGCCTGGAGTCTCAAATCAGGTCTCAAAACAACACAGTAGGGTCTCATGACAACGCTACAGGGTCTCCTAGCAACGAACAAGGGTCTCCTAGAAACATACAAGTGTCTCTTGACAACGCGCAAGAGTCGGATGAAGCTATCGTAATAGCTATCGTATGTACAGTAGTTGGTATAACTCTTTTCGTGGTTGGACGTTTTTTAGCATACCGTAGAAGACACATATACTTCGAAGGAGGGAGGTTAAAATGCCAAATGTGCCTATCAAACGGAGATAACGCAGTGAATGAAAATGTTGTGATGGAGTCCCAACTACCTATTATGGCTAATACATAACATGTAAAATGCACTGCAGGGGAAAAATCACTACAAAGAGTGCAATCTGTTTTCAGTTGGATAATGGACTCCGTAGAGGATTTTATTGGACTTCATGCAAATTTGACATCATTATCTACGAAATAAAAATCTGGTGCTAAGCAAATCTCCAAAACTTTTTTCAGCAGAGAAACCAATATGACATGCCAATTTTATGCGTTGTAAAATTTTATATAGTTACTGTATTTCATGCAGAAAGAGTTCTAAACTTCCTTTTATCACAAAGAGCTATATAAAGCTTTTTTTTCGTTAAAATACTTTTTGGGCATTTAAATATTATCCGTCTAATAGTAAATTTAAAGAAAAATGTTTGTAATATAACTGATTAAAGACTTTACTGCTATCTTTTTTTAGGAATCATATCCAATTTAAGGCATTTGACAATTCATTTAAAGCTCGTCAAGCATTTATCATAAAAATACTTGAATAAAGTTGTCAGCTTTTAAAGATTTTTCGAGCATTACGTTATTCATTTTTTTTCTTTTAAAGTGTGACCCCCCCCCCCCCCCCCCTGATTTCGATATTTAAACAAAAACTACAAACAAAACTGCGAAGATGACTAGAACACGGACCCCCGAAAATTCCACAGGTGGGACAAGGCGCCCATGAGTAACATTCCCTCTCAACTGAACCTCTGTGTGTCGAACCTAATAAAAATACTCAACAATAAGAAAAAAAACATCATTCGTTTAAAACATAACACTTCATTGCAAGATCGTTTTTATCATTTTTATTTGTAAGTCAAGTATTTACAAACAACAGAGTTCTCTTAGTTATATCAGGTATATAAAAAGATATTTTTTATCAAATCAAATGACGTCTTTGATTACCTTTATGTACCGCATTTATAATTTTTTAAATATTTCACATTAATCGTTTCGATGTAACCGATAAACACAATTATTATTAACTTTTTGTCACAAAATAAACTCGTCGAGCTTTGGAAAAATTATATGCTACTATTACTCTGGCACAAAAATATATCACAATAAATTCAACTCACCAATAAATTTGAGGGTATTTCCACTCAAAATCAACATTTGTTTTAAAACAAAGCTATCACTCATTTTTCACAATGTTCATTCAGAAAATAAAATCTTCTTACAGATTTCCTCGAAGGATCAAAAATAAATACATATTTATCAGCTGCGTCAGACTCTTTTATACACATATAACAAAAGGGAAATTGCCAAAAGTAAATTTTTCGTACACATTTTTAAAACTCTTGACTTTTAAACAAGCGTGATTAAGCACAATCTAATTGCAAGAGGTCCAAGGGCCTTGAATCGCTCTTCTGATAAATTGTACAAATCAATCTATCACTTCTATTTGAAGCCTCTAACCCTAAGTACCCTAAGACCCAACTTGCATCAACTGACAAAGTTTAATGATTCTTGGCCAATTAGGACTGAAGAAATTTTGATAAAGCTATACAAAAAATCATAAGTAGGTCACAGTGACTTACTTTAAAATTGAAGTTTTCTGAGGACTCAAGATGCAATAATAGACAAAGATTGAAGATTCTAAGCCAATAAGTATTTGGTATATTTAAAAGTAGGTTACTGTGACCTACTTTTTTATCTACATTCTTCGGAAACCCAATATGCATCAACTGACAAAGTTTGCTGATTCTAAGTCAAAAAGTAACGAAGCAATAAAATGTCAGAAGTAGTTCATCGTGACCTAATTTTTTAGTAAACAATTTTCGAAAACCCAAGATACATCAACTGACAAAGTTTGATGATTCTAAGCAATAAGTACCTGCGATATTCAAAAGTAGGTTAGATCTGAAGGTAATCAAAGTAACTATGCCTTTTAAACAATTAAAAAACAAATACTTGCAAAATGCAAAAAGTAGGTCACAGTGACCTACTTTTTCATAAATTTGTTTTAAGGTCCCAAGATGCATCAACTTACAAGATTTGATGACTAAACCTCTCAGTGTCTGAAATAATGGGATTTTATGTTTTAACAAGGATTAGACATAAAGTTCAAACAGTAGGTGACGGTGACCTACTTTTAAGTTGACATTTTTTAAGGACCCAAGATGCATCAACTGACAAAGTTTGATGATCATAGGCCTAACAGAGTCCAAATTATGCCTTAAATTGAATTTGAAAACGAATAAATTCCTTTAGGGAACTGATGGATCACTGTTTTTAGAATTTGGAATTCTTAAACCTTAAATTTCATTGATTAAACCCCTGTCACACCGGGTCTGCGTCGTCACGGCGATCGCATGGCGTCCATAAAAATGCAAAATGCCGAGTGATCGCAGTAAAGTCTCCTACAGCGCGGCGAGATCTTCACTGAACGCGGCAGGGTCGCGTATTAACTCCTTGAATGCCAGGGGACGGCGATCACTTTGGGCATGCACAAAGTACGCGTCGTGTGATCGTGTTCTAAGTAAAGGTTATAGGCCAAAAACTGTCCATTCTGTGAGAAGAAAGAACTGTTGAAGGGCCGTTAGGCCCGATAATAGTTCTTTTTTCTCACAGAATGGACAGTTTGAGGCCTTTAACCTACTTAAAACATTTACACTATTATGTTCATAATGTACTCTCTTAGAACTTTTTCTCATCCATTGTATTAAGTTAGCATTGTCTACTTATTGGACTGTCTCAGGTGAGGGTTTTATGACAGTCAAAAGAAGTCAAAAGAAACTTGTATTCATTGTTATTGTTAACTTAATGGACAGTTACAGGTAAGTGCAATTTTTGAACAACTGACTAAAGAATATTTAATCACAAGGCATGAGATTCCATCACCATTTTGATGTGATTGTGAATGGTGAAAGCATGTCTTATTCCAAGGAAGCATATTTTGATGCAAAAATAACTTCAGATATGAAGGGCAATGCATACCGGGGTATGTCATTCTTGTGACATTTTGAGCCTAGGATTGTCAAGAAAATTAACTTTGAGCTCAAGGTGGACGTTTTATTTTTTAATTTGTTTCTCAAGGGTTAAGGGTTTTTAAGGATGCAGAAAAACAAAGGGAACGTAGAAAGGTTTCCGTAATTTAATCAACAATATTCAGATGATTTAGAAGAGGATAATCAGAGCAGAAATGTAAACGGGTATTTATTGTGTTTTTTAACTGACAGAGAGAATGACGTTACATTGTACCCAACGTTGATGTACGTTAAGGTGTTCAGTGATAAAGGAATCAACAAAATTATAAGCTTTCTCTTCGCCGAAATTAGAAACAAATCGGGAGTTGAGTAGACAAGGCTTTTGACAAAACACCCTTGCATTCCTGTAGCAGAAAAACAATGAATGTGCTCCTGTAGAAAAATGAGCAGTTATTCAAAGTACTAGTGAGAAATAAGAATTTAAGGAGCGACTGTTTCTTGCCAGGAGAAATGATATCCCCTCGTGTGTTGTTGGTGCAAATTACATTCTAATAGTATTCAGATCGAGATATTTCCTTCAAATTTAAGTTTTGATGTTCATTGTGAGCTGGAATATACATTTCATCATTTATTGGAATAATTACAAAGTTTCAGTTTTTGTGACTTAGAATGGATTATTTAATTACACTGTGAAACTGTTGGATTCATGTCTGAAAAATATTTATTTGTGTTTATTTGTGTTGTGTTTTCTTAATCAAGTAAGTTACCTGTAGCCATCCAATAAGTTATTGAAAACTGTCCATTATTTTTAATAATGGACAGATTTTTAAACTTATTGGACAGTTCAGGTAACTTATTGGACTGTTTTGGCCTTGCAAGAAATAGAAAGCATTAAAAGAACAAAAGATGATGTCATACTAATGTTTTAAGGTCGCAGTAGAAACGTGGTGTGTTCGCCGTAGCAGCGCGGTGAGATTTCCGACAACGGAATGGGAGCTCCGTATGAACGCCGTGAAGACGCACATGCGCTTCAACGTTGACCTCCGGAGATGTCGTGGAGTCCTCGGAGATGTCAATACATTTCTATTGCGTTTTTACGGAGCTTGTAATAAGAATAACTGTCTTATCTTTTTGACTGCAATTACACATGAAAACAGGAAGTTGTCAATGCGATCGTTGCGCTCCTTGACGTTTCTACAGCGTCAGGTGGTGATCACAATGCGCTATCACGGCGTTGTTAAAGCATTGTCAGCCATTTCACAAAACAAGAGCAATGGCATCATATTTGTTGCACTAGGAGCATTAAAATAAAATATGGAAGAGAAAATTACATCGGAACTTGTTCTGTTGTTTCACTTAAATTTTGTGGCAACGTTTAATGTTCTTATTTTTTTTCTTACATTCATAAAAAAGTCAAAGAAAATATAACAAAACATCTGAACAGATTAAATTAAAAAAAGGTTTTTGATCACATAGCTACTAAAAATTTAGTACTAAATTATTCATATAGAACATTTTTAATTATTAAGAAAATTTCTTGGCAAGATTAGTAGTCTTTACATCGCGTAACTTGCAAATTGAATCTTTTAACAAAAGTGTTTTACATTCCTTCTGAATATATATCAATGGGTATAGAACGCATTGTGAACGTATTGTGAATGCAGTCAATCGCCGAGAGATCTCCGTGGGAACGCAGTAGAAGGCCGTAAAATTGCGTCCGTCGCCGTAGGGATGCCGTGACATCTTCACATTGTGAAAAATTTACAGAAATTTGTGCAATTTCCCTGCGGTTCCATGGCGATTTTAAAAATTTAACAAAGCCGTAATGACTCTGTGTGAACGCAGTTTGGTGTGACAGAGCCTTTACATATAAAACTTACGAGAAATGATAATTTTTTGTAATGCAACAAGTAATGTAGATAGAAATTTCACTAATGTGTTTTTATTGCTAAGTGAATATAACACTTAGCAAAAAAGTTAACCAACGGCAGTCTGTATATATTACTCGACGTTATAAATTGCTTCACAAAAATAACATAGGAATTTATGAAGCTAAGAATAGAAAATGGAGCTATTTTGAAACATTCGTGGCTTTGTATTATAAAACACAAGTAACAGCTGTATTAGAAACTTAAAAGAATTTAAATGTTTAGAATGGAACTCTAAGTTGAACAAATTTTAAAAATAGAAAAGTATTAAAGAATTATCTGCCAAATGAGAAAACAATTAGTACTATTTATTCAACTCAAATGAGCTTAGATGAAATCGTTCTCATTAGTCTATTCAATTCCATATTTAATTATCATATAGTCAACAAAAAAGACAAAAAAAAATCAAATCAAAATTATTAAATATTCATTTGTATGAAACATACAATCGAACCGATAAGTGCACAGATCCTCAATATTTGTTAATCAAAAACCATAGACATTCTTGAAACACAGCAGTTTAATTTCTGAAAC